ACTTAAACTATAAACGTTTAGACAAGTCAATTCATATATACAAAGTAATATATCGGTTTTTAAAAAGAGGACTGAGAGGCATCAGCTATATTTCACGAGAAACTACGACTCCCAGAATGCAGTTCGGGAGAACTACTCCTCACCGGAAGTGTTTCTTTATCACCCGGACCCAAAACCGTCTGCTCCTTCTGTTTATATTTTTGGGCCGAAGTTTTGGTTTACACCATAAAAACTGAGAACCACTGGACGTTTAGTTTCTTTTTGAACGACTTACAAAACAAGAAAAAGTAAGATTTTAAAGTATATTATCACTCAGCAAGATTGAAATAAAAAAAAATCCCGGAAATCGTAAAATTTGTAACGCAATGATGACGTGCTAACAAGCTAGCTAACGTTTTCTCTCGACAGAATAGTCGAAATGTTTCTTCGTCTAAGTTTGCTCATTTAACGGGTATATATCTGAAACCTTAACGCTTTAATTCTTGTTGAAGACTTTTCAGTATTTATTTTAAAAAATGTACCTCAGGCTACTAGCATTTAGCTAGCCATTATGCTGATGTGTACACAAGTTCGCACAACGCGCTTAAAGATATTCCATATTTTAATGTATTTCATTGTTTTCTCTTTGTGACCTTAATAAAAACATTAGCTGGCCCCTCCACTGCCYGTCACCATGCCCGCCCTGCTGGAGAGACCCAAGCTGTCTAACGCGATGGCCCGAGCCCTCCATAAGCACATCATGAGGGAGAGGGAACGCAAGAGACAAGGTCTGGCTGCAGATCTCTAATTCTTCAACATATTTAAATATAAAGTTTTTTATGCTTAATTATTGTGTTTGTGTAACTTTTCAGAGGAGGAGGARGTGGATAAAATGATGGAGCAGAAGTTGAAGGAAGAGGAGGAGAGAAAGAGGACGAAAGAAATCGAGGAGAGGATGTCATTAGAGGAGACCAAAGAACAGGTCGGGGAACGTCATCGTCTCCGAGTCTTTCTTARTGACACTTGAAGTAAGTGTGATTAAATACTAATGGTCGATCTGCTTCTCCTGTGCCTGAATGTGAACGTCAGGTGATGAAGATGGAAGAAAAACTGCAGGGACTGCAAGAAGAGAAGCATCAGCTCTTTTTACAACTCAAGAAAGTCCTCCACGAAGAAGAAAAGAGGCGCAGAAAGGAGCAGAGGTTTGACATTTTTAAATTATCTGATACGATATGTTGTTAAAGTGCTCTACAATAAGTTGCTTTTATTTAAAATTTGTATTTCTCATTAGTGATATCACAACCCTGACATCAGCGAGCTACCAGCCCAGTTTGTCCATGCACCCGGGACAGCACCTCCTCAGTATTCCAGGTGAGATGCAGGACCATCAAACCCACCTCAGGAGTTCTTAATATCGGTTCAAACAGTCTGTCCTTGTTGCCTCAGGCAGTCCAGTCAGCCACGGTCGACCCGGTGCTCTGCTGGGAGAACGGAGCAAACAGCTGTTCCCAGCTTCCGTCATTCCTGTAAGAAGAAAACTTTCTCAACTCTCTCAAATAACTCACATTTTGTGTTTTTGTTTAACAACTAAACACAAGTTCAGAACTCATAGATCATTTTTACACCATTTGCCTGACAACGTCAGCTGACTTTGCTTTTCGAGTGTTTTCACCTCTTYGTTCAATCTTAGGCCCGTCATTATCAGACCCCTGGATTCAGCTCCGGCTCAGCAGAACACGGGCAGTTCAGTGGCAGCCAGGGGGTCCATGAGCCGTACGGTGTAGCKCAGGCCCAGCATCCCTCCTCCTACGCTCCTGGACCTTCAGTACCTGTCAGTTTTGCCAGCAGCTCTCAGATCAGAGGTAAAGATGTGTTGTTGTTTTTTGTTTGTTTTGTTGTTCTCAGAAGTGATCTGTTAGTCAGATCCTGCAGTGTTTCAGGTGGTACTGAAGAAATGATTTAGTTGTGTGATTGTTGCTAAACTATATTTTACCTGCAGGTGCGTCTGCGTTTCAAGCCATGCAGTACCTCCCTCATCAGCAGGCTGGTTATCCTGTTCACGGTCACTTCACCTCTCAGCCAGGTGAGTCATGTCGCTGTGACCTGTGCTCAAATTTTAATCTTAAACAGGATTTACATTGTATTGTTTAGAAATAAAGAGAGCCACAAACTCAGCTGACTGCCTGAAAGAAACATACATTTTCTCAATACATCAAGAACAGAGTCTAGAATTATTTCAAATACGACTTGAGTTTATTTCTTACGCTTTTTTATCACCTTTTTAGACTAATTTCTAATGAAAACATTTTGCCATTTGCTTCGACAGCAGCTTAAAAAAACAACCWTAAATGAAAATACTAACAAACATTTCACATCATCACAGGAGAAAATACAAAAAAGGTAATAAGAATAAAATAAATCCCATTAGGGGAATTCAAAAGARGACATTAAAACTCCATTTTTATTTTCAATGGAGAGGACTCTCAGGTTTTTCCTCTCACCTCAGATTAACGAGGTTTAATGACAGCAGACAGGAAACTGTCAGGACGTTCTTAAAGTGCCTGCGACACCAAATTTTTGCAATAAATACGAATGTATTTTTGGAAAGGTAACATTGATAATATACTGTAAAAAAATGATTTCACACCGCTGAGATTAACAGTTGTTGAGCTATTTGCATGTGAAGAAACAGGAAGTGATGTCAGAGGGGAATGTCTGAATATAAACAGAGTGTTGCTAAAATGGCTAACAACCCAGCCTGTAGAGAAGAATCTGATGTTTCTTTAGATTATTTTGAGTCACGATCATAGAGAGATGAGAGAGTCAGAGATCAAATAATATTGTTTAAATAAACAAAAACCAGGGAGTTCCCTTCTTAAAGAGTTCCCCTTTGATGTCACTTCCTGTTTCACTTCAGCTGAGCCAAGTTCAAAAGAAAACATGTCAGTTATGTGACATAAAGGGTAAAATTATGTGTATTATGCCAAGTTTCTTAAATATAAATATATGTTCTTTGACTTTTTGTATTTCGTGGATATACATGTCACAGACACTTCAAAGTGAATTTGTGTTTCTGCTGCAGGATACATCCCAGGAGCATCAATCCCTCTGCAGAAGCAGCTGGAGCACGCCAACCAGCAGTCCGGCTTCACCGATGCAGTAAGACCACATTAATCTATCCACTACATCACCTTAAGGCTCCTGCATACCCTCTCCAAACTGCCGAAATGGGTTCGTATTGTAGCAGTTTCATGRCGAAAATTGCGTCATTCTTTCCGCGTCGTTGATATTTCGGCAGCTTCTGACACAACCTGTGGGTCAAACTTTTTACCCCCCTTCACATAAGAACACAAATGAACTTTATTGTGTGATTGGTCAGAAGTTCGTGGGAGTGTTTGTGCTGAAAGCGCTCAGACGTTGCGTTTTGCTTCAACCACTCGCTTAAAAAAAAGGCGACTCGCTTCCAGAGCCAACTGTTGTAGGAAGCTGCGATTTATAAAGAGAGTCAAACAGCCAAAAACTCATGAATGGAGATAAAACAGGCATTTTGCACCGTGGAATCTGACTGATAAAAACWTTGRGTGATGTCGGGTGWCGGGTCTTGGACATATTTTTCCACACTGCAGACTTCAGTGGGAGGAACCTCCCTGTAGTGGCGTATGCTGCAGCGGGAGGGGTTTCCCCAGGAGCTCGGCACGGGGCGTCTCAGGGACTATGAAGGTGTGTGAAAACGAACACCGAAAAACCATGTGACCGCGCATCGACTGTTCGGCTTCAGAGGGAGTATGCAGGAGCCTTAAAGGGATCCGTGATTAATGGTAACATTAGACTTTATTTGATAAACATATTTTAACTGTAAAAATACTGTAGGATGTTCAGTTTTTACCATTTTTAAACTAAAAATTTAAAAATATATTACAGTGCTAGTGTGACAAACAAGCTAAAMTGWKGTCCTCCAKCCATATTTTCAGTTMCAGGCTGAGTCATTTCTACCTTCTCCTCTCTGTCAACGCTCTCTGGTTTCATTTAAAAGAGTCGATCATCAGATATTGTCCAAGATTAACCTTCAGGGTGGATATAGCTGCTAGCAGCCTTGCACCAAGGACCTATCCACGTCTTCATTTACCCAGAATACTTTGTGTGTAATAAAAAATGGCTCCATCCGTGTTAAAATATATTTTTAGATATTATAAAAACTAAACAGCCTACAATATTTTTACAGTCTTTATTTTACAGTTAAAATAAACATTTATCAAATAAAGTCCAATGGTACAACTAATCATGGTTCTCTTTAAGGAGGATAAAGCTCTTTAACAGTGTTTATTCTAATTTTGATTCCCCATTATTCCATAATCAATCCTTGATAATAGGGATGCAAGTTATCGATTAATGAATTAATCTAAAATTGATTGACCTTATCRATCATTTTTTCAGAGTGGTTTGAGGCCGATGCATCCCTCAGCTATGCATCCATCTGCTCCAGGGCTGCTGCCCGCACCCATTGTCCAGATCCCCACTGCAAAGGTGAGGAACACCCCCACCCCCCACCCCAACTCAGGCATTTAGAGTTAGAAGCTGCTAAATAAAGAGTAAATCTATAACGGGTAATCTTTCACTTTTCACAACCCACTGTCCTGTATGTTTTAGCTGTTTTTCTGCTTCAACACACCTGACTGTAATAAAGAGTGATTAACAGGCTCCTGCTGAACTTTGACGTTCTGAGTGGGTCACAAGGAACAGAGCTGAAGACACTTTTAAAACATGAACTATTCCTTTAAGTCTCTCTCCCTAACTAATCCGAGGCAATAAAAAAACTTAGTTAATACAGCTAAAACCTACATAAACAGGAAATTGTTTCCTTTATTATTAATTTTTTTGAGAGTTTACTTGTAGTTTTTGTGTTCCATGCTGCTCACATTTCTGAAGAAAAACTATGGTAACTTTTGTTTTGAAATGTTTTTCCTTAGGCTCCATTCCAGAGCTCTCCGCAGAGCGCCTCCCGACACAGCTTCCTCCCCCACAGCCAGAGCAGCCAGAGGTTCTACCACCACGGCAAGTAACCCCCACCACGGCCAACCTCACTCACGACTCTGGAGGCGACATCGAACCGGCCAACCAAGTCCTTTATTTGTGTTTTACTGTTCGAAATGTCTCATTTCTCCAGCCTTGTTTCGACTTTAATAAGCTCACAAACATCACTCATTTTTTTAATCTACTTTTAAATAAAGTCTAATTGTAAAATAGCTTTTTTTTTTGCGTACTGAAGCCATTAAGGAGGTGCCGTTGTGCACAAAACTGTTAATATTTTGTATAAAATCAGACGACGCTGCGGACGTTTGAACGTTTCTGCGATGACTCTGTTCCCTGAAAACCTAAACGTTTAGTGGTTTATCATTTATCATTTCTCTGTTTCACTTATTGAGCGATACTTAAACTGCAGCTCTTTGTTCTGACAGAGGAAGTAGTTTAACGTGTTGACTTCTGGTTAAATCATCAGATCTACAATCCACTGTTTTCTGCAGCCAAAATCAAGCATTTTGCCTAAAAGTTGCTAAATAAAAAGTGAGTCACATTCAGCTCTTTGTGTCGTCTCCTTTAACATTTTTTATTTTATTTTTGGTCAAACTCTTTAAACAGGAATGCAGGTTTTAAAAAGGTGCCAAAACTCGTTTTGGTTTCAAAATAAAAGCTTAAAATAAAAAAAACGGTGCTCGCATTTGAACATGGGTAAAAATAAATACCCTTACGTTCCAGTATTTTTCCCCCACATGAAACCTTTCACACAGGTTTTTCAGTTTGAAAAATAAATCAAACAAAAGAAATGAAGAGCTTCTATCATGATTTAAATATGTACACCTGGATTCAGACAGGGTTTATTATGTGTACATAATGTGTTGTTTTTCCTATGCTGCCACATATTTATTAAAGTTCTCTAATGGAGAGAGAGAGAAAATAAGTGGAGACTAGCGCTGACAGTCTTTTCCTCCTCAGGTGCAGCAGATCTTCATCTCCTCTGAAACAGAATTACAAGGAAGGAGGAAAAAGGACGGAGGAGTCAGGAAGCACAAACAAGATGCTCCAAAATAAAATGAGGGGGAAAAAATCATTTAATGAGTGTTTCAGAACTGCTGTTGGAAAAATAAAAGGCATCTGAAAAACATGAGATGTTTGAGGCAAACAGGAAATGAGCATAGAGCAAAAACAACCAGGAAAAACAAGCAACAATTCTCCGAAATAAACCTCACATTCAAACTCTACAGTACTCCAGAAAATAACACACAAATGTTAAAACATGAAACAAAAGTAATGTTTTTATTTTGTTACATTTCAACCTGAAATTTACTGAATTTAATTACTATTAATTTGGATTTTTACTTTACAAAACAAATAACTCCAAAGTTTTACAAAAAAATTAAATTATATATTTAAGCATCAGATTTAGATCTTCCACTTACACACAGAAGTTTGTATTTCTATCCTTATTAGGACTGTTCTTTGACTTCCATTCATTTCCAGTCGTTTCTAAACCTGATCCCCCAACCCAAAACTGGAGTTCCACCATACTAGAACTGATCTTTGGTCCCCATAAGTACGACTGGTTTTGACAAAATAGGTGTTTATACCAGAAATGGACCTAAAAAGCTAACAAATGCAAGTCCACACACACACCCTGTCTCTTCTTAAGGCAGGTCCAGGTCGTGTTTCTGTATTTACCTGCTGTGGCTCATTTCCCCAAAGCTTTGATGCCGACTGCAGCCTCTTCGTCCATCGCGTTCAGAACAGTGATCTGAGAGAGGGACAGTGATTGATTGATTTTATTTAGCAGTAATATTGCATGTACATACACATCTAGTACATTCCTTATTACCGGATAACACAAGAAAGTGAGAAACACTTATTTCCATTGTGGTCCAAAAATTAAGTGACAGAGCTCTATGAGGGAGAATATACAGTGGGTAAAATAAGTATTGAACATGTCAACATTTTTCTCAGTAAATATATTTCTAGAGGTGCTAATG